TATATATATATATATATATATATACATATATGTATATATATATATACATATATGTATATATATATATATACATATATATATATACATATATATATGTATAAATATATATATATATATATATGTATAGTTTTAAGTGCTGCAGTGCAGGCGAAGGCCCCACTTCTATATCTCTAATATAATATAAATAATATAATATCTATATATATCTATATTCTATATTCTTTATCTCTAATATAATATCTATATATATCTATATTCTATATCTCTAATATAATATCTACATATATCTATATATATCTATATTGTATATCTCTAATATAATACTCTCATAAGCAGAAATGTAATGCTTAAGTGCGTACATACAGACAAAACTTATTCAGCAAAGAGGCTGTAGCTAAAGGCTTTACTTCTCTTTAGAGATATATAGTGTCTCCGTCTAGAGAGACACTCTATCTCTAAAGAGAGATAGAGTAAGTTCTTTCTTCAACAACTACAGCATCTTTGTTGTGAGATGTAGCTCTCTAATAAATAAGATAATATAAAGGAGTGTATTATAAACATAGAAGCACGCATGCATAAGTCTGTATATCAGCAGTCTCCTTCTGCCCTCTAAGAGCAGTACACACATGTATGCTATTAGCTTGAAAATAAACATAATATAGCAAGGAGACAGATCTTTATTGCTTTGTTATTTATTTAGCTGTCTCCTTTTATTAGGGGGCATTGTCTTCATACTCTGCTGTCTGTACAAGCGCAGTTCATCATACTGTCTCTTGCAGTGTCTCCTGCATGCATTATAATCCTATATAATGCATGCAGGAGACACTGCAGCAGCAGCAGCAGCAGAAGCAGCAGGAAGCTGCTATTGAGTTGCAGAGAGCTGCTGTACAGTAGAGACGCACTAGCAGGGCAGGAGACGCACAACACCCGAGGCTTATCTTTTGTAGTTCTTTAACCGCCTCTGTCTTTTATACAAATAACAGAAAAATAAAGCTGCGGCTTCGATGACAAGCTGTCTCCTTCCCTCTTCACTCGTCGATGGACATGTGCTCCTACGACAGCTAAGATCTTCAGTATATATATATATATAATATATCTGTTTATATATATATATATATTAGTTTATATATATATGCATATATATTAGTTTATCTATATACATATATGTATTAGTTTATATATATATATGCTTATATATCTATATATATATATATATATATAGATATATTAGTTTATGTATATTAGTTTATATATATAAATATATATTCATTCTAGAGACAGGACAGAGAAGTCTGAGTAGTAATAGCCTATAAGAAAGTATCGGTGCTGTTGCTGCTGCACTTGTAAAGGTTAAGAGAAGATGTCTCTCTGTCTAGCTTACTGGAGACTGTCTCTTTATTTGGAGACACTAAACTAATCCTAGCTACAGCGGGCAGCGAGCATGTGCATGCATGTAAGAGACAATATAAGAGACTCTGCTAGAGAGCCTCAAGGGTAGGGCTGCTGCTGCAGCAGCTAATATAGTAATTAGCATGCGGTAAGGCTTATAAGCAATACTCAGAGAATTAATGAAGAAATGCAGCCGCTGTCTCTGTTTGCATCTGTAAGCTCAGACGCATGCAGTAGCGGCTGTACACCTCGTGAAGGTCTGTCCTTAAGAAGACCCGATAGAGGGGCAGCAGCAAGCTGCTACTACAAACTAAGAAAAATTGTCTTTGCTTAACGAGTATAAGAAGATGTATATAAGGCTAAGGAGACAGAGACAATAAACATGTGTCTCCTTGCCCTATATAGAACTGCAGCGGAGCCCTTAATCCTTCAACCTGTCGCAGTGTCTCTCTTTCTTATGTCTCCCTCTCATACACCGTTAGACAAGCAGCATAGAAGAACGCTTGTCTCTTTGAATAAGAAGATGTATATAAGGCTAAGGAGACAGAGACAATAAACATGTGTCTCCTTTCCCTATATAGAACTGCAGACCCCAGAGACTATTATTAGGGGGCGGAGACAGACAGCTGAAAAGGCCCTATGAATTCAATCGGTCGTCTATCAAAACCTTTAAGACCTCCAGGTGTATAGGCAGGAGGGATAGTGATAATTTGACCCCACAACTCTCCTTTATCAGCTGTCTTACTGCTTCATAGCTGACAGAAGAAGATATAGGAGACCCTTTATCTACTGAATGAATGTCTCTCTGTCTCTTGTTAGGTTCATCATACTACAACCAGACTTACAGCTCTAACCATACGTTTGAACAGATCTTTCTGCTGCACAAGAGGCAGGCTACTCGGGAGAGTCTTCTGAGCTATTAGAGCAGCAAAAGCAGAGGTAAACGGCCTTAATTCTTCTTCACTTCTGCAGCTCTCAGCTAGAGATAAACATCTCGATAGACAAGCAAACTCTTCATCTGGTTCTAGTACATAGTACGGCACCCAACTAAGGAGACAGACATCTCTTAGATCCCTCAATAATGCGCATACAGCTGACTTTATTATATTTAGCCTGTCGCTGTCTTCATCTTCTTCTTTTAAAGATGCTTTCTTAGCTGTCTCCCCCGGGGCCTCTAGCAATAAACATTTGTCTCCTCGGGTCTCCTCAGACCTCTCTACTGGGTCTGACACAGAGACAGCTATATTCCTGTCTCCTCCACTCTCGTTGCTGCTGAAGGTCAACATAGATGAAGCGCGGCCTGCACAAGACAGAGACGCTCCTCGCGGTGTCTCCTCAGGTCGCGGGCTTGAAAATATTGCAAACGAGGAGACAGACGAACTCGAGTGTCTCCTTTCTTCGGAGCTGCGTGTCAAAGCACCTTCACCTTCAGTCTCTCCCAGTTGAAGCCCTACACCAGCAGCTTCACTGTACTCGCCGCCAGCAGCAGCAGCAGCAGCACCAGCACCAGCAGCAGCAGCAGCTGCTGCTGCTGCTGTTGCAGACGGATGAAGGCAATCATCAGCTGAGGTCTCTGCAAGGTTTTGCTGCTTCACCCCTCCTCCTCCTAAGCTCAAAGACACAGATAGGGCAGGAGACCCCAAGCTAGTTGCTGTTGTAGGGGTACCGAAGAGGAGTGACGAGAGACGCTCAGGTGTCTCTGCAGCTGCTGCATCTGTTGACAGGCCTCCGTTCAGCAGCAGCAGCTGCTGCTGCAGCGTATCGTGCAACGCTCGCGAAGATGCCTCAGCTGAAGAGAGATGCTGGCCGCTTCCAGCAGCCAACATCTCTCTTTCCTGTATACTGCGAGGCTTGCTGCTGCCGCCGCTGCTGCTGCTGCTGCTGCTGCTCGTGCAGCTACTGCCGCTGCTGAGCATGCCTGATAGGCGGCGCATCAAAGACATCTCTGCCTCAAGCAAGAGAGCTCTTGCTTCTGCGGGGTCCTGTCCAGCAGCAGCAGCAAGAGCTGCAGCAGCTTTAGCGCTTGACAAGGCTAAATCATCCGCTGCTGCTGTTGCTGCTGCTGTTGCTGCTGCTGCTGCTGCTGCTGCTGCTGGTGGGTGCGAGACCATACCATCAGAGATATCGCTAAGTGGTAGTCTCTCCTTACAAAGTCTTGCTAACTTTAAAAAGATATTCGAGGGGGCGAGCGATGGGGGCCCCCTCTTTGCAGGACACGGAGATTGAGACTGCGCATGCAAAGACAGGCAGTCTTGCAGCAGCTGCTGCTGCAGTTGCAGCTGCTGCTGCAGCTGCTGCTGTTGCTGCTGCAGCTGCTGCTGCTGCTGGGTGGTTGAGGTCATCTCTAGCAAGTCAGTTTCACTCGACTCTGCTACCCCCCAACCTGCAGCAGCAGCAGCAGCAGCTGCTGCTGCTGCTGCTGCTGCTGCTGTCTTGCCGGTCTCCACTTTAGGTTTCTGAGTGAAGACCCTGTCGTAGTCTGTCGTCTCGTTGTTACGGGGCCAAGCAGCACCGTCGGGCCTCCATACTTTATCTTCAGGGGCCCCAGCAGCAGCAGCAGCAGCAGCTAATGCTGCTGCTGCTGCTGCTGCTGCCGCTGCGGAAGGTGCTTCTTTGATCCTAGAGACATCCGTCGGCACCCGCGCTGCTGCATCTGCAGCTGCTGCAGCTGCTGCAGCAGCTGCAGCAGCGTTCAACTGCTGCGGGTGTTTCTGACCTCTCGGGGGCCGCGGAATTTGCGGTGTATGTACAGCTGCTGCTGCAGCAGCAGCAGCTGCTGCAGCAGCAGAGGAGGCCTTGGATCGTGGCCTATAAGAAGAAAGGGTTTTAATATCATTCAGCGTTTCTGCTGCTGCAGCCCGTGAATTAGCGGGTATAGCAGCAGGACCAAGCGGACCAGCAGCAGCAGCAGCAGCAGCAGCAGGTGCACCAGCTGCTGGTGCTGCAGCAGGATGGGTATGCTTGCTGTTATTAGAGTGATAATCTTCGCAGTTAGCTCGTCTGCAGCGCACAGCCATGAGCCAAGCAGCATCAAAGCCGTTCTTTTCTACTGAGAATGATTTAAAGTACCTCTGGCCGTCTCGCTTCCAGTGTGCAATCCACCGCGGACATGTGGGGTCAAACTTAACGCCGACGCGGTGAGGCAGCAAGCGCGCACGAACAGCTAAATCCTCGCGCAGCTTCTGTCGCTGCTGATAGTCTCGTTCCCGAGAACTGCTGCTGCTGCTGCTGCTGCTGCTGCTGTTGATGATCCGGGTGTTGCGGCAGCACAGCTTGCTGCCTTGGGATCACCCGCAGCAGCAGAACCGAAACGTGTGCTGCCGCTCAAGCCCTGCCCAGCAGCAGCAGCAGCAGCAGCTGCTGCTGCTGCTGCTGCTGCTGCTGCTGCTGGAGTCTGTGCAGTAGCTCTAGCGAGTTTAAGAGCAGAGTCGTGGGTATTGGGCGTCGTAGAGGGGGATGATGGTTTGCTGCTGTGGTTGTTGAGGTGTACGCTCGCATCGAAGTGATTTAAATAAGCTAATGCTTCTTCTCGTGCTCCTACGAAGCCAAACTTCTTAACAGAAAAAGAACGACATACACGTCTGCTGCGCGTCTGTACACGTACTATCCACATCAGAGTCTGCGGAGAGAATGTTAAGCGGTTAATGCGGGGCAGCTGCCGGGCGAGGCGAACCAGCTCCTCCCGGTACCCTCGCAAACTGCTGCTGCTGCTGCTGCTGCTGCTGCTGCTGCCGCTGCTGCTGCTGCTGCGCGCGCGAGGGGCTGCGCAGCCATCAACGCTGTCAAGAGATTCAGCAGCTAATGCTGCTGTTGCTGTCTCTACACACTCAGCAGACACCGCAGGAGAAGGGGCTCCTGCTTCAGGAGACGATGGGGAGGCAAGCCCAAGGGGCGCCCGTAACAAACACGGCTGCTGCTGCTGCTGCTGCTGCTGCTGCTGCTGCAATGAGTAGCGCTGCAGCACCTCTTGCAACTGCTGTAGTAAAGGATTTTCTTCTCTACGTGAAGTGAAAGGAGTATCTGCAGCAGCTGCTGCTATCGGTTTTGTTGATGGTGCTGCTGCTGCTGCTGCTGCTAGTTTAGCTGCCACCGCTGCAGCTTCTTGAGGGGCCCCTGGCCCCCTAGTCGGGGGTCCCCCAGAGCGCATCTGCTGCAGCTGCTGCAGCTGCTGCAGCTGCTGCAGTTAAGGCTGCTGCAGAGCCTGCAGCTGGTCCTGCGGGAGAGCCTTCACCCTCTTGACTAGAGAATAAGATAAGAAAGAATATAAAAAACAAAGTTATATAGAAGCCCCCGAAGTGTAGGCTGATGAGAGAGAGACGCAGACGCAAGGGAGACAAGCAGCAATACAGCTTAAGATAGACAGTAACTGAGTATACACCTGAAAAAAACAAAGAAGAATGCGACAAGACAGGGCCTTCAATAAGATTAGGAGGGCCCCCTCTAGCTGTTTAGTGTGAGCAGCAAGGGCCTCCTTAGGCCTCCACCGTCTTTCACGTACAATACACCTTGAAGACTGCGAGAAAAACGTATAAAGATAAAGTTAAAGAAAGAGATATTAATTATAATCAAGCAATACTGTATATAGGACCCCCTTCATAGACTTGTTGTTATGATAAACGGTGCAAAGCCTATAGCCCTCAGCTCTAAGGCGTAGGGCCCTGAGGGCCTCTATGCTACTGAGCTGTTGAGTGCTTACAGTGAAGACGGGGTCTTAAACAGACAAACAAACATACAAACAAATAATTAAACTCTTCACCCTATGAAGAAGAAGGACGAAACAGCAGCAGCATACATACATAACAGAGAGGCAGGGCCCTATAGAGCCTTAGCTGTTGTTTGTTGTGGGGAGGGTGGGGGCTGGCTTCTTTAGGAGATATCATATCAATTTTATTTGTTATTATCTCTTTTTTTATTATTAATATTAAATAATAATATTTATAATCTTCCTACTCTTATTATTTATCCTTACGCATGCAAACTAACAGCACTTCAACCCTATACAGACATCATCATCATACATACACCGCAAAGGCGGGTAGTTAGCTCGAGCGACTCCTTTCGTACATTCTTCTTTTGTTTTTTCTTCTCAAGTATATTATAACTCTCCTATTCAATTTAAACATATTACCTGCCTTGACATTGTATTCGAGGCATCAATAGGCCCCACCTGGCTATACACCCCAAGATCCCTCTTTTTAACAGTAGTCATAGTCTTTGTTAGGCGGAGGCAGTCTTGAGATGCAGCAGAGTAAATATATTAGACATAAGAGTTATATAAGGGCCTCAGATATCTCCTGCACTCTTCAACAGCCCTGAGCACACCTGTAAAAACACTTGTCTAGCCTTCTGCTGTGGAGGTCTTATATTAACTGCCTACCCACACAAGGTAGAGTAAGATAAAACACTGCAAGCAGAAGCCAAACAAGTTAGCAGATCTACACCCCAGTCCACAGGCTTCATTAATATCCTAAACACACAGGCCCAAGGAAAGGGATCTGCTGCGGAGAGGGGGAGGTCTCATATAAACTTCTACGTATCAAGTTGTAAATATGCAAGGCAACAACCAACTCCATATGCATGCACATAGAAGACCCTCTTTCTAAATAAACTAATGCTGTAAAGACTTCTTAAAAGATTTGGTGCCTCTTTATATCGAGTTTGAATGTAAATAGAGATACGCAAGCTATGTCTCTCATTCTCTATGCCCCAAGCAGCACACCCCGTCTTGTGCATATCTCCCCAGTAAGCTTCATAACAAGGATAAAAGCAGAGCTTCAATTTGCTGCTGCTGTGGTGTATCTACAGCAGCTCGATGTTAATACGCTGCCCCACTGGTGTGGCCACTGGACACCAATGTCAGTCTGAGCGATTCGTTTCGATTGACTACCGCTTCTTGATGAGAGGATCAAGGAAGAGTAAGCAATATCACTTGAACAGCTGTTAGGGTAGAATATTTGTGCAAGAAGGGCCAGGGGACAAGCAGCCAGCCCCAAAAGGGGGATACCCATCACCAAGATGTTAATAAAGTGAAGTGTATCGACGCTGCATGTGGGTTTGCTGTAAGCAGTGGTGAGGGAGAAGATCTTGGCGGGGAAATAATAATAAGGCTTTAATATATTATTTAATTAATTCTATAAATAATCAGTGAAGAAGCACTCGTATATGGAAATATATGAGTACCTTCTATTCTCGAGACAGCACCTGACACCAAGACATATAATGCAGCTCCAACTTCAGCTGCACTGCTTATCCCTATGCATGCAGTGGGTAACGCTGAGTCGAAGAGGCCTTGTAGAGGTGCCTGAGGAATCGATTAAAACAAACAATCCTTATAAACCTGCTCGGGTGTTCAGACCCCTGGCCAATCAACGCCAAACTCCTGCTTTTTGTCTCCTCTGCTTTCTTCACCCATTCCCTCTTAGCTGCATTGTATGTTTGGAAGCTGCTGAATTTAAGCACAACAACGTAGAGGCTACATTATCCTCTAAAAAACGTGATAGACCCACAGCCATTCAGATGGGTTCAGAGGGGCTTAGAGTTGGGAGACAGTGCAAGAAATTTGATTTGAGAGTGTTCTGTTGCTTGTGCTGGTGGAGATGTGAAGGGGTATCCCTTTGCTGAATGGCGCTCCCCCGGCTACAAAGAGACAGCTGGAAGCCCTCTATAATGTTGTGTTGACTCCGTCATGGCCCGCTTAATCGTAAGTATACATTTTAGAGAAGACTTCTATGCAAACTCAAGCGGGAGAGTCTACTCCGAGTGTATGCCTTTTGCTTCATGTCTTGCAGCGCCTGGGCACAACGTACAAAGCTCCTCGCTCTTGTCTTTCTAAGACACATATACCACCCTTCTTACCCTTGAGGAGGATCCAAATGCTGTTGGGAATGCTGAGAGGTAGAGTCGCACATTGCTTCTCGTTATGTGGACTTCTATGCTGTCGTCTGGCTGCAAACTGCCTGTCGTCTACTCCTTCATCCACAGCACACCTAAGACTATCTCGTGCATATTGCTTACATCAAAGAAGCCCCCTATCTATTCCCCTAATCTAAGCCTGCCTTCACTTTGCCTTTTCAAAGCAAACAGATAGACAAGTCGAAAGATCAGCCTGTTCTTTCTGAATGTGAAATTGTTCTGTTAATACCTGTCTTCATTTCTTTGTTAGATTTTTACTCACAGCCCCATACCTATATCTACAGGTTCTCAGAAAGCTTCTATAATTAATTCTCCTTCAAAAGTGCTGCTCTTCTTTAGGTAGAGACACCGTAATGATGTCTCCCTTTTTAAAAGGCTCTAATAGCATTAATTGATATATAAACGCGGCAGTACATCTGCAGAGAAGCGAAGAAGTAATCCACTGCAAACCCCCTTCGCGGGGCCTCTCGAGTCAGACGTGTTATTGAGTGCTAACTGACAGAGACTGCACTCACATAGGAGCGGAGAGACTCGCAGCTGTTGGTGGTCTGCTGCCCTGAATGAAAACCCTTATCAAAGCCCAAACTCTAAGGGAAGACTGAAGCGCTGAATATGTATATAATATTCTTCTTCATTGTTGCACGCACAGCACAACCATAGCATATCAGGGCTATATATTAAACTGCTCCGCTGTATGCACAGCTTAAACTGTCTCTCCTTCACAATGTGTGCTACGAAGTATAATAAGGCTCCTCAATCTTAGCTTAGCTTAGGTTAATCGAAGACGAGAGTATATTTAATTACTTAGAAAGATAACAGCAGAGTCAGCTTAACTCCTATACAACCTGTGCACAGCAGCACAACAGCCTATACACTCTACAGGGAAGAGACCCTTAATGAATTGCAGCACTTCTTCTCATAACAAGTGCTGCAGCTTCACCCCGCATGCAGGCGTAGCTAAGCCCCAACCTTAGCACCTGCAGCAGCACTATAGATAGGTGTTAAGCACTCTCTTCTCACATACTATCAGGCCTCTATGAAAGTAATAAAATATCTATTAACTTTATAAACTCTATGTATGTAAAGCACCAAATCATCTTTCTTAGCAACACCTTATTATAGTGAGGCCTACAAGCTGACAGGTTAAGACATCAGTTGCTTCATAAAGAGAAAGTAGAAGGAGACAGAGTAATGAAGACAAACAGAGAGACACACTTACACACCTCTCTTTTCTTCTTCTGTAGCTACAGCTCTCTTGAATGTCTCCTTTTGTAAGGAGACCCTCAAGAATATAAAAGAGGCTTAGAAGGATGTAACAGAAGAATTGTATTACCTTCAGGTGTATATACACACCAACTCCTCACACTAAACAACCCCACACAAACATCTAATGAAGCAGCAGCATTGCTGCAGCACTGCTGCAGCACTGCTGCAGCACTGCTGCAGGTCCGCTGGTCGTGGGGGCCCCCTAGCGAGACGAAGTGTATGGGCAGCTGCAGTCTTCTGTCTCTAACACTGGTGTGTATAATATATTATTTACATATTAAACTCTATAACAAATTAACTTTAAAGAAGCTGCTGAAAAGCTTAGCTTTGTTTGGGGGCTGCGGAGACTGTGCTCGTCTCCAGGCGCAGTGGGAGTGAATAGGGCGCTCCCTAAACCCTAAACCCTAAACCCTAAACCCTAAACCCTAAACCCTAAACCCTAAAGAGGGGAGATTCGTGCTGGTGTAGATCTTGTTTGGTTGTCTCTAAGTGTCTCCGGCCTTAGAGTAATTGTTTATACGGCGAACCTTGTTGCTGCAGCTGCTCGCGTGTATATAGGTTAGAAGAGATGCATGCAGGGCCCCCGTAGAGACTCTGTTTTGTCTCTTGCAGCTCTTAAGAGCTGAAGATAAATATGGTGTCTCTTCATAAACCCTCTCTGGGTGGCAGCGAGCGCTTAGAGACCCCCTTTACATCGGAGGCTGTTCATCCGTTAGGTGTAGAGACACCGCAGCAGCTGCAGCAAACACAAGCAGCAGCAGGAGCAGCAGGAACAGCAACAGAAACTGAGGTCGGAGCGCCAGGCTCATGGGGTCCTCGTACAGGAGACGGTGCAGCAGCAGCAGCAGCAGCTGCTGCTGCTGCTGCACCGCATGCAGATGGCCTACTACAGCAGGGAGATGAGGAAGCAGAGCGTCGGGGGCGCCTGTGTGAGAACTGTCTCTTTTGCTTCAAGACAGCAGCAGCAGCATCTCGAGCGTGTGTGAAGTGCTGCACAGGTTGTAGCCCTCGTAAGCCCTTGGGATGTCTCTCTTATCCTTCTTCAGTATCTCTGTCTGTCTTACGTCGCTGCAGCAGCCGCTGCATTAAACGCCTGTCTTTGTCTCCTCATTTATTCATTAGAGTGTCTCTTCTTCTTGGGTTCTCTCTGCTGCTGCTGCTGCTGCTGTCTCTTTATCTTACCTTTGTTGCTGACCTACCTCCAGCCCTAAGCACAGAGCAAGGCCCCCTTGAAGCTTCTAATCCTCAGCGACAGTTGGAGGGCTTCAATAGTAAGACGTATCACCATTCTCCTCGCAGCAGCAGCAGCAGCAGCAGCAGCAGCAGAGACAGCAGCAGCAGCGACAGCAGCAGCAGCAGCGACAGCAGCAACAGCGACAGCAGCAGCAGCAGGAGCGTTGCTGCTGAGCCAATGAGAGCCTTGAAGGGTTCTTTAGAAGACGATGAGACAGAGCTTAGCTGGTCGCTGCTGCAGATGAAGATAATCTCAGGGTCTCCTTTGCTGCAGCCTACGGTGTCTCCGCTGCGGAGACGCACGGAGACACTTCGACGATATTTTGGAAGGGAGCGGCAGATAACTTCGCTGCTGGTAGTACAACGCCCTGAAGCAGCAGCAGCAGCAGCAGCAGCAGGAGCAGCAGGAGCAGCAGGAGCAGCAGGAGCAGCAGGAGCAGCAGCAGGAGCTGCAGGAGCTGCAGGAGCAGGAGGAGGAGGAGGAGGAGGCACACCGTTAGCAGTGCATGCAGCAGCAACAGCAACAGAAGATGCAGGACAAGGAGACAGTAGTCTCCTTGCTGAAGAGACACTTGAGGAAGTCTGGAGACTTACAAAGGGCTTCGAGGCTGTCTCCTACAGATCGTCAGGCTGGCGAGATGTCTGCAAGTTCTTGGACACAGACTTCTCTCTCGGTGAGGTGTACAGACACCTGGAGACACAAACGCATGCAGCCCCAACTCAGGGGCTAGTCAAGAAGCATAGATTCAGACGGAGACAGATAGAGAGAGAGAGAGAGAGAGAGAGAGAGAGAGAGAGAGAGAGAGAGAGAGAGAGAGAGAGACAGACAGACAGATAGAGCGGAGCACAAGAACGAGCTGCAAATAGATATACACGAGGCAGGGATACAGGAGGGAGACAGCTGCTGCAGCAAGGAGACAGCAAACAGCATCTCTGCTGCAGCAGGGAGACAGCGAATAGCATCTCTGCTGCCGTTAAAGAAAGGAGACAGGTTGCAGCAACAGACGTTTCTTGAGGTGCAGGTGTCTCCGTAGCTTGCTTATCTATTTGTTGTCTCTCTTCTAGTCTCTTTGTGTGTTCTTCTATCTGTCTCTAAACGCGAGGAAGAGACAGTCAGTCTCCCTTTGGTGTGTCTCTGTCTCCTTTTGAAGTGTCTGACATCGGCTGTCTCTTTAAGTGGGTCTGTACGTTCAGTGTCTCTGCTGTCTCTGTTGTTCTCCTCTCTATCTATCTCCTGGAGGCGCATGCAATCCTTTGTTGCCTTCGCTGCTGCTGCTGCTGCTGCTGCAGGAGAGGTGTGCGTGGGCATGGGGGTGTTCGGTATATATGAAGCGGCTTTAGGCCCGATGGAGACACCGGAGGACTTTGAAGACGCTCTTCATGGTGTGGGGTTGCAGCATATCTTTTATTTATTAGAAACGGAGACACTTGCAGCTGAATAGAGCTGCTAACAGACTTAACAAACAAATAGGGTAGAGCTGAGGAGACAGAAGAGACGGTAGCTGCTAGAGGCTGAGTTGTCTCCAACCCCTCTCACTTCGGCTGTCCCCTTCTGAGACAAGAGACAGAAATAAAGGAGACAGAAGCACCGTTGGAGACAGTTGAAAGCAGCAGATACACCCATGCAGGAAGGCATCAGGAGACACAAGGATAGCAGCTTATGAGAGCCCGTCGGCCCTCTGTCTCTTTATGTTTGTCTCCTTTACTCTGCTCAGAGTTCTTCGTCTCTTCGCTCTTCTTCTTTGTCTCTTTGTTTGTGCTTCTTTGATTTGTTTGACTTTTAATGTCTCTTGTGCAGATATTTTTTAAATATCCTTTATTTCGGGTGTCTGTCTCTTTTTTGTTGACTGTCTCCATCTCTTTGGCGGTGTCTCCTCTCCGCTTCTTCTCTCTTTGTCTTCGTCTTCGTGCTGCTGTCTGTCTCTTTCCTTGCCTGTCTCTTCTTCACTGTCTCCGTTTGTTTATGTACAGGGGTCTCCTCCTGGGTGTGCGCTTCTTGGGGTGTATGGGGTGTATGAAGTGTCTCCTTTAAGGGTCTCCTCGTCTGTCTCCTCAGGCCTCAGCACTGACGGTGTAACTTTGCTTCACCTTGCTGCTGCATATCTTCCTACCTCTTTCTACTCTCCGCTGTCTCTGCGCTTCTCACCCCCTGTCCCCTCTGCTGCCCACGGCCTCAGAAGCCTCAGCAGCAGCAGCAGCAGCAGCAGCAGCAGCAGAAACAGCAGCAGCAGCAGCAGAAGCAGCAGCAGCAGCAGCAGCAGCAGCAGCAAGGGCGCCACATCGGTCATGGACTTCCGTATTGGGCGTGCAGACGCGCTGCTGTTTACATACGAAGTAGATACAAGGAGACTGTCTCTTCAGACGAGGAGGGGCTGGGAGCGAGAAGTTGTCTCCTTTATTCGCAGCTTCAAAAACAAGCAGCAGCAGCGACGGCGCATGCTGCTGGAGCAGCAGCAGCAAGGGGTGCTGCTGCACCAGCACAACGATATCAAGCAGCATGTAGCTGCAGCAGCAGATGAGAGGAAACGAAGCAGAAGGGCTCTTCACACGGATCCAGCTGCTGCTAGAAGTGCTGCAGTTAGTGGTGCTGCAGCTGCTTCACCTGGCGCTGATGCTGCTGCATCTGGTAGTGCTGCTGCTTCAGCTGGTGCTGCTGTTGCTGCACCCACTGCCACTGCTGCTGCTGCTGCTGCTGCTGCTGCAGCTGATGGGTCGTGGGACGTGTGGATTCATAATGAGTCTTTGGAGGCTGACGAAGCTTTGTCTCTAGTGAACGGCGAAGTACATTTGCTGCTGCTGACGGTGCCGCTGCTGCTGTTATATTTTGTCGTGTCTGTACACTTTGCTGCTCCAGCATTACCTCAGTTCGAGCTACAGAAGAAGGCGATCTTGATGGGAGGGGTAATATGCTTAGCTGCATTTGCTGCTGCTGGCGGGCTGCTGCTCTGCCACCTGCTGCTGAGGGTCCCAGTGACTCCGCTGCTGCTGCTCGTGCTGCACTTGCTGCTGGGGTTGTCTGTACACCAGGCTGTGCATACGTTGAGGTGTTTGGGGACAAGGATGGGGCGTGTCCCTACGCTTCAGCAGCAGCAGCAGCTGCTGCTGCAGCACCAGCAGCAGCAGAAACGACGTCTCCAGCGCACTGGCCGGCTGCTGCGTCAGTCTATGCAGGCCCGCAGCAACAGAACCAGCAGCAGCAACAGAGATGAGGATGTGCCCGAGTACTTGTTGTACGGCTGCAGCAGGCGCAGCAGCAGCAGCGACAGCAGAAGCAGCGACAGCAGCAAGACCAGCAGCAGCAGCACAAGCGAAGCAGGTTGGGAGGGCCAGGAGACATGGGGGCTTGTAGATCAGGCAGATCGACAGCAGCAGCAACTAGAAGAGACACTAGCGGGGTGTATATGCAGCAGCACCGTGACTACTGCTGCTGGGGTTTGCTGCTTGGTTGTCATGGGCACCTTCGACTTACCAGCTGTCTCCTCATACTGCTTTGCTGCTGCTTGCTGTCTCCTCGCGCTGCTGCTGTTTTATATCGGCTTCTTCTGTCCCTTGCTGCTGGTCTTATACTGCCCTCACCAGCTGCCGGTGCCAGGCTCTTCGCTGCAGCGAGGCAGCAGAGTGTCTCTTTCTGCTGCTCCTTTAGCAGGATCTGCCGCAGCTTCTGATGCAGCAGCAGCAGCAGCTGCTGCTGCTGCTCCAACGTCTGTCGATTCGGAAGACGGAGGAGCAGCAAGAAGCGCTACGGTGCAGCGGCTGCAGCAGAAGCAGAAGCAGCGGCGGCCTCAGCAGCAGCGCCTTCATCAACGTCCATACAGTGACGTCAAGGATCTTATAAGAGAAGAAGCAGCAGCAGCAGCAGCAGCAGGGCTTGCTGCTTCCCCATCTAATGCTGGGGACCCTTTGCTTCCGTCTAGTCTCTCTGATGCAGAAGACAGTGAGCCACATAGAAGCAGCAGCAGAGATTCAGAGCAACTGCAGCAGCAGCAGCAGCAGCAGCAGCCTCAGCTGCCAAATGGACTAAGTCCGCTTCCTAATGGTCTTCACCGCGAAGACAGTGAACTGCAGCAGCAGCAGCAGCAGCAACAGCAACAGCAGCAGCAGCAGCAGCAGCAGCACAACAATGTGGTTCCGGTATGCCTAAATACAACGGGCAGCCCCGACGACTGTTTAAGGGGCAGCAGCACTTTTACAACCAGCAGCGCTTCTGCTGCTGCTGCTGCTGCATGGGTGTCTCCGTGGCCTTCATTTGATGCCTCTGGATCTTCCTTAGCAGCAGCAGAGGAGGCAGCAACAGCAGCAAATGCTTCAAGGAGACAAAGCCAGCTGTGCGCAATGCGCTGTGCAGCAACTAGGGTGTCTCAGCAGCTCCGCAGGTCTTTGTCTGAAATGCGGGGGTCTCTGTGGGGCAGACTTCTTTGTCACAAGACCTACAGGTTCGACTCCTGCTGCTGCTGCTAGTGCTGCTGCTGCTGCTAATGCTGGTGCTGCTGCTGCTAGTGCTTGAGCTGCTGCTGCTGCTAGTGCTGCTGCTGCTGCTAGTGCTGCTGCTGCTGCTAGTGCTGCTGCTGCTGTTGCGGCGGTCGCTTTGGATGGAGGTCGTTCTGGGGCTTCGCGGCCATGTAGTTAGGTTGTTTGTGCTGTCTTGCTGCTTCTATTGCTGCTACTACTGCTGCTGCTGTTGCTGCTGTTGCTGCTGCAGGGTGTTGCTGCTGGCTTTTCTGTGTTTATTTTCTTTGACGAGCTACAGCGCGATGCAGCAGCTGCAGCCTGAGTTTGATTTGCTGCGGTATTTACCCCCTGCATCTTTGCTGCGGGGTTTCCTTGAGGCAGTGCAGCAGCAGCAAGCTTGGGGGGGAGCAGCACCGCAGCCGCTGCACCTAGTGCTGGAGCCTGAGGTGTCTCTGCACCTCCATCAGGCGGAGACAAGACACAAAATCAACCAACTTGTGGATGACATCATGCAACTCCCAGAGGCAACAGTAAGGACTTGCAAGCATCCCGGTTGTGCAGCAGCAGCAGCAGCAGCAACTGCTGCTGCTGCTGCTGCTGCTTACATTTACACCAGCAGCAGCCCTTGCTGTCCCTGCTGCTGCTGCTGCTGCTTAGCTTTCCACCAGCAGCAGCACTTCCTGTCCCTGCTGCCTCTGATACTCTTGCTGCTGCTGGTGTGCTTGTTGCTCTTGCCTTTGCTACTGCTACTGCTGCTGCTGCTGCTGCTGGCTGTTATGGATGGCGGCTGCATGGGTCTAAGGTGCCGCTCGCTGCTGTGTCTACTTCTAGCTGCTGCTGCTGCTGCTGCTACGTTTGATTGGGTTTGTTAGGGCCCTGTACTCTCTTGGGTGTCTGATATAGAGCTGCACACCAACGGCACAGCAGGACGTGAGGAGAGACAGTCTCTCTGCTGTTTGTCTCTGTTTTTAAATATGTTTTGCTGCTGTGTGTTGCTGCATATTGTGCAGTCGTGTGGGGTAGGGGCTCCCTTTGCCTTGGGGTGTCTGTCTCCTTTCTGTCTCCTTTCTGTCTCCTTTCTGTCTCCTTTTGCTCTCCCTGTTGCTACCAGTCGCCGTGCTGTCTCCTCTTTGACTTTTGTCTGTCTCCTTTCTGTCTCCCACCGCCTCTACCTTCTACCGTCTTAGCCCTTGTTATTCATTCCTATTTACTGTCTCCTTTTGTGTCTCCTGTATCTCAGCATTGTGTATATGTTTTATGTTTGCTGTCTCCTTCTCTCTTTACGTGGTCTCTTTATGCAGATGTATCTCTTTATCTCTCTTCCTTTTCTGAGTCTTGTCTTGTGTTTATTATTATTATTATTATTATTATCGTTATTATTGTTATTGTTATTATATATGTATGTGTATATATATGTATATACATATATTTGTCTGTCTTTTTCTTTTGTCTCTTTTTTTGCTACTGACGCTTCTCGGGGTGGTGTTGTTGGTGGGGTTGTTGCTGCATGCAGCCGAAGCAACGCTGTCTCCTCCCTCCGCTCCCTGTCCCTCTGCAGCAGCACATCCTTTCCCGTGGCAGTCATTAGAAGCATTTGTGCTGCAGCTGCGTCGGTGGCGCAGCGACGGGCATGATACACTCTGCAGCAGCAGCAGCTTGCAAGAAGGAGACACGGAGACAGTAGCAGCAAAGAAAGCCCCTTGGCTTCATAACGTTACGCCCACAATCTACGACAGCTCTTTTATTAAAGTAAGAAAAAATAAATATTAACAAACACAAAATTAATGCAATAAGAAATACTATATATTATATACATATATATAATATATATACATATATATATATATTATATATACATATATATAATATATATACATATATATATAATATATATATATATATGTAGGTGAGCGTATATCTGTATATCTGTATCTATATGCAAATATATTATACATATGCATCTCCATCTAAATGCCTGTACATATATATATTTGTATATATCCGTTCTTATAATATTTATATATACACATCCATATATATATGTATATATATATATATATATATTTCTTTATATGCAGCAGTTTGGCTGCGTAGCACTAAGACGGGAGAAAGAGGGGCGGGCCCTTAGAGGCTTTCATGAATATATAAGGGGCCCCAACTTGCAGCTTCTGTCTCCTTTTCTGTCTCCTTTTCTGTCTCCTTGTCTGTCTCCTTTTCTGTCTCCTTTTCTGTCTCCTTTTTTGTCTCCTTTTCTGTCTCCTTTCCTGTCTGCTTTTTCTGTCTCCTTTTCTATCTTTTCCTGTCTCCTTTTCTGTCTCCTTTTAAATATCCTGTCTCCTTTTCTGTCTTTTCCTGTCTCCTTTGCTATATTTTCCTGTCTCCTCTGCTGTCTCCTTTTCTATCTCTTTTCCTGTCTCTTTTTCTGTCTCCTTTTGGTTTCGCAGTTCTCTGGAGACGGCCGGCGTGTTATAACTTCACGCATAACGCTCTTTCTCCGCGTAGACCCTCTCAACAGCAGGAGCAGCAGCAGCAGCAGCAGCAGCAGCAGCAGCAACAGCAGCAGATACGCACGCAGCAACCAAGACGTGCTGCAGCATCTACGAGCTTTAGAGAGAAGCCACTTCCCCTCTGGCGGGGTGTATCTGCATGCAGGGTGGATGGAGGATGTGTACAGGCAAGCTTCTTTATTTTTCTTTGTTCTGTTTGTCTGTTTTGTTTGTTTGCTTGTTTTGTTTTATTTGTTTGTTTGTTTTGCCCTTCAAGCAGAACGGGGCTTCTTTGGCTGTATACAGATAAATGATGATAGCATAGACATCGGGTGTATGTACACCTCCCCCATCGTTAAAGCTCTCGCTTTTGCTGCTGCTGATGCTGCTGCTGCTGCTGCTTCTTTTGGGGGTTTATGTGCTGCAGAGACACCTGGATAATGTCTGCGGTGTTATCGCAAGTGCTGTGGATCTCCATAGCACTTTTATTTTTTCTGTCTTTTATCCTGTCTCCGGTTGGCGCAGCAGTAGTAGCTTCGCTGCTGCTGCTGCAGGGCCTCTTTGTTGGCGGTCTCCTTGGCTTCTTTGCTGTCCCCTTTGATGTTGTTACTTTAATCGTGAGCTCGAATCACCCCACACAGCAGCTGGCTAGCCATACTGCTAGCCAGCTAGCTAGCTAGCTAGCTAGCTGGGCGTTACTACTGCAGGAGGCACTCTAGCTGGCTGGGCATGTAGCTAGCTAGCTAGCTAGCTGACTAGCTAGGAAAGAATACGAAGTGTATATGGCGCCATGCCCTTCGGGTTGAGGTGTATGTACAGCTGCTTGGTGCTGCTGATGTCTGCCTTCCTTCAGGCCCTGTTTGCAAGCGGAGCGTTGACGGTGGAGTATACAACACTTGTGGTGTACACGCACCTCAGGACAGCTCCTCTGTTTGCATCGGTTCCCCTCCCCTCACTTTCTCTCTTGTCTTCCTTAATGCAACAGCACGAGCAGCACCAGCAGCTGCTCCAGCTGCAGCAGCAGCAGCAGCAAGGCTCTCCTCGCAGCAGTGCTGCATCAGACGCCCGCACTCCGAGCGACTCCCGGGTGTATCCTCAGCTTTCCCCGTTGCAACAGCAGCACCTGTCTGTGCAGGCTGCTATCCCTACCTCTCCCTGGCAGCACCGACAGCAGCAGCAGCAGCAGCAGCAGCCGTTGCTGCTGCCTAGACCGGAAGAAGTGTGCTTGAGCTGCGGCAAGAGACCCGAAGGGTGCGTGGTGTACAGCAGCCCCACAGCAACAACAGTAGAGGTGCTGTTGGCTGGGTTGCACAGACAGCGGCATCAGGGGCCTCTCTTATCTTTTCTTGCTATGAGGGAGGCGGGGCCCTCTATCCTTATGTCTGCTGTATCTACCTTTCTAGGTACGGCAGCAGCGCGCACTGGGGCCCCCTATCAGCTGTACATACACTCGAATCTAACCCCACTAAAGACCATTATTAAACACACACAGACAGATAGCCCTCCTGATGTTCCTGGGGTGTATGTACACCTGCACGTGGCAGGCTGGAGTGTATCAACCAAGAGATGCGGCTTTCTCGCTTGCTTTATTCAACTACTAGCAGCAGCAGCAACAGCAGCAGTAGCAGCAGCAACAGCAGCAGAAGCAGCAGCAACAGCAGCAGCAAGTGGATATATGAGGCGACCGCATTTGCTGTTGTGCGTTGGGTTGGTCTTTGTTTTCAGGGATATGTTTGCTCTTCTTCGCTAAGAGTAGCGCCTTCCGAGTATTCTGCTGCGCAAACTTAATCGTCATTTTTGCTGCAGTGGTTGCGAGTTGCTGCTGCGCCCCCCTGCTTCTGGTGTATGTACAGCCCCTTATGCCGCAGCTTAAGGCTCCGAAGATGCACTGGAGGGGCCCCCAGGGGCCCTGGGGCCCCCGCCTTAACCCCTGCGACCTTCGGGGGGTCGAGAGGCCCCCAGGAGACAGCGCAGGGGGCCCCACAAACCCCGAGGGGCCCCCGCATATTTGACTGTAAAGGAGACACATAGGCTGGGGTGTACGTACACCCCAACCATTTGGTGTTCGAGAGCCCATTAATAAGGGCAGGTACCGCCTAAGGCGATCTATAACAGCAGCTGCACTAGCTGCAGCAGTAGCTGTTGATGCAGCAGCTGCAGTAGCTGCTGCTGCTGCAGTAGCTGCTGTTGCTGCTGCAGTAGCTGCTGCTGCTGCCAGTACTGCTCGCCTCCCCACGAAAACAACGGCTTCATTTTAGCCTGGCACCGCAAGATGGTTCGTTGTTTGTAGCTAGGGTTTAGGGTTTAGGGTTTAGCAGCAGCTAGTAGGGTTTAGGGCTTAGTAAAACCAGCAATGGTTGGGGGGTAAGAAGCAGCTGGGGTTTAGGGTTAGCAGGGAGTTAGGGTTTGGGGTGTAGCAGGAACTAGGGTTTAGGGTTTAGCAGCAGCGAGGGTTTAGGGTTTAGCAGCAGCAAGGGTTTAGCTGCTTCATCAAAGCATGAGGTCTATCCCTTCTGGGTGTTTCTTTGCACTTGGCGGCGCTGCAGCAAAGGCAAACAACAACAGACATGCAGCAGCTTCAGCAGCAGCAGCAGCAGCAGCACGAGCAGCAGCAACAGCAGCAGCAAGAGCAGCGGCAGCAAGAGCTCCAGCAGCAGCAAGAGCAGCAGTAACAGCACGGCTGCAGGGGGGGCCCACCTGGCTTTGGCGGCTCATCAAAGAAAAGCATATCAGGGTGCGAAGGCGTAGCTGACTGTACACCCGAGGAAGAGATTTGCTGCTGCTGCGGCTGCGGATGCTGCTGCTGCTGCTCCGACCAGTAGTCCATCTTACCATTGCTGCTGCTGCTGCTGCTGCTGCTGGTCGGTGCTGCTCTAGCGGGGAAGCAGGTAGGTGCAGCAGCAGCACGATCCGCAGCAACGGGTGCGGCTGCAGGTGCTGCTGCTGCTGCTGCTGCAGCAGCTGTTGCTGCGCCAGCTGCTGCTGTTGCTGCTGCTCCTGCTCCGTCTCCTGTCCACGAAAGCCGCACGGCCTGCAGCAGCAGCAGCAGCAGCAGAGAGAGACAGAAGAGAGGGTTAGCTGTCTCCCTTAATGATAAGAAGAGACAAAACAATAATGGAGACAGAGCAAGAGGAGACACAAAAAAAAGAGAGAAGAAGACAAACAGCAGCAAATAAAGAAGTAAAGAAGAGCAGCAGCAGCAGCAGCAGCAGCAGAAAGAGACAGAAACGCATAGAGGAGACAGCAGAGCTAGCAGCAAGAAAGAGACAGTAGAACAGAACAAACAAACAAACAAACAAACAAACGACCAGAAAAGGGATAAAAGAGACAGAAGGAGACACTTGCCAACAGACAAAGACAAAAAGAAAGAGACAGGGATTAGAAGACAAGAAAACAGAGACAAACAGATATAAACAAAGTAATATAAAATATCTGCATTAACATAAAGACGAACAAAAACAAAAAATAAACAAATATATATATATATATATACTATCTACGGGGGAGACAGAAACAAAGAGAGAGAGAGACAGATACAGAGAGACAAGGAGACAGAGAGAGAGTGCTGCTATCTATAGACAAATAAAAAGAGAGAGAAAGAGAGAGAAAGAGAGACAGCCAAGCTGTTGCTGTTAGATTTTTATTTATCTGTATCTATTTATCTATAAAGACAGATAAAGAAGAACAGAGAGAGATAAGATGAGAGACAAGAAGAGAGACAAGAAGAGAGACAGAGCGCCTATCTACCTTCAAGAAGAGAGGCCCCTTCGTTGCTGCTAGGGGCTGCTCCTCATCATGCAGATCCAACCAAACGGATGACGGGGATCGATCCCCCTGGGAGACGATCCCCAACTCCCCACACTCCGCCTTCAGCCTGAACAACAACACAATAAAAAAACAAATAAATAAATATAATAAATAAATAAATAAATATAATAAATATAATAAATAAATGAAGATATGCATGAAGGATATATAACAGAGACAAAAGGAGACAGACAAACAAATAACAAATAAACAACATCTAAAGAAGAAGAGCGAAAAAGAAGAGATAAAGAAAGACAAACAAAAACAAATAAAAAAGAGAGACAGACAAACAACAACAAAGAGGCAAAAAATGAAGAAACAGCAGGATGCATGCAGCGAAGCACATCATAAACCCTAAACCCTAAACCCTAAACCCTGAGAGAAAAACAAACACGACGAAGCATCTGTGTGGGAGGCGTATTCAGCCAAACCCGGTGCAACTAGAGTTTAGGGTTTAGGGTTTAGGGTTTAGGGTTTATTAACCTGAAGTGATAGCGGCCTGGTATAGGGAACTGCTGCTTTATATCTGTTAATGTAGGAGAAGCCCCCTGAGCTACTCTTAAGAAGAAGCAGTTAGGGGTATTGAGGCTGTCTCCATCATTGGAGACAACGTAAAGAACGAGTGTATGGTTCATTAGCTAAAAATAGAGGAGACACTTCGTAAAAAACAAACAAAAATAAATAAATAAACAAAGAGAGAGAAAAATATACACGTACCAGCAACACGCAGACAAAAGAGACAGTAAGAAACAGAGACAGTTGAAGACAATAGACACACACACACACACACACACAAAGCTAATAAGACACACTACACAACTCCTGCTGCTGCTGCTGCTGCTGCTGCTGCTGCTGCTGCTGCTGCTGCTGTCGATCGGTCTGTATAACCCGACTGTCAGCGAAGGGGAAATTCCAATGCTGTACAAATGCAGCAGGGCGCAGCAAACGGAGGGCGCAGATGAAGAAAAACTGATCCTCCGTGTTGCTGCTGCTGCTGCTGCTGTTGCTGTTGCTGCTGCTGTTGCTGCAGCTGCTGCTGGTCTAGCTGCTGCTGCCGGTAGCTTGCTTTTCTCTGCCGTGCCGGCGGTATGAAAAGGCTGTATAATAATAGAAAAAGATAAATAAACTGATGAAGATAATACTGCGTCAGAGAGGAGCTACTGCGGTGTATGTACAGCTACACAATAGAGAGAGAGAGGGCTCGAGATAAAGAGAAACTAAGAAGCCTCCAATCTGAGAGGTTATAAGCCCATGAATAAGATAGAGCAGCAGAAAATACAGAAAAATACTTTTTTTTCAGTGTCTTTACACTTCAAACCTGCGTATACACCCCAACAAAAACAGCAGAAGCCGCAAGCTGAAGCATGCGGCAGCAATAAAATTTTTTGAGTAAACTGTCTATATGTTTTGCTGCTACATTTAAAATAATTAATATTAAATAATATCTAAATATACCTTTTAAAAAGAGAGAATTTAATATTGTAGATGCCTTCATAGGAAGCAGACAAACAAATATATTGCTGCTGTTGCTGCTGAGCTGTATATACACCTCAACTATTATTAAAAGCCTGCAGAATAAATATATGCAGCACTTTGTTTATTCTTCTTGCCTTCTCTCTTTAAAATAAAAACAAATTAATTATTCTTTATTATTTATTATTGAAATCTATGAATATAGTTTTATCTGCCTTACAATCACAAATAATGAAGACACGCAGTCTACATATACATATATATATAT